TATCCTTAAGTTCCTAAAATTCATTTAAAGCATCCCTTTATAACACAGATTAGCCTCAAGTATATATTAACATGGATGCGTTAACATGAACAAATCAAGTTCTCGGTTAGATAAATGCCTGAATATAATTTCTAAAAAACTAACGTTGATCCGGTGGGCCACAAAGTGTCCTTGTCATACACTGATTTTCACTCTTCCTATTCTCATGCCCCCTGGACGCTCTAGTGTTCTGTAAAACCCTTTCAAGATATGGCTATTTCTACACCAATGACCCAGGTTTGATATGTTGAAAGCATTGGCAAAGGCATTACGTTATTTATTTAACTAGCGAACAATCGGAGAACCAAGATATAGTGAGTGAGTGAGTGAGTTACTATTTAACGTCAAATCGGCAATATCTCAGCCATATCGTGACGAGAAAATATTTGACATTGAAATAGAATATATGTATATGATAAAAGCCTGTCTACGAAGGACAGTAAAAGAACTAAAATATCACAATTACAACTAAAACTAGTGTGGAAAGTTAAAACTAATAGCACTATTTGGACAATACAATATAAAAACTGGCTAGAAATCGCCAACAACTGAAGGTAGATCACCATACTAGGGACCATGGGGACTTACAGTACCTTGGCTACCTGCATGGACCTACCAAGATATAACTTGACAAGTAGTTTGCCAAGTCGTTCGCAATTATCGATTGCCATGCACGTTTTCGTAAAAAGCCACCAAGGGGCAGATCAAGATATTATTTTCGCAGACATATCATCATTTAATTCTTAAGCACAATGCTTTTGATATAGTGGGTGTCGTTTCATATATTTTGCTGTCAGGGTGTGCCTTTCGGATGGTATTGACTGTAAGTATTGTAAAGATCTACAGTATGCTACAGTGTGCTTATGTTATAAAGATGGTAGAAATTTCAGATTATCGAATACGAAAATCAAGGAACAAGTCGTCCAGAAATTACACTCTGTATAAGATAAAGGTCAACCCCAGTGTCACTTAGCGTCACTATCTACCTGTAGAAACCTGGAAACATTACCTGTACTTGCAGCATGCAATGACGACAGTGTACCGAGAAAGACGGCTATAGTTTTGTATATCCCCAACATTTGTTTGAATTCCTGCTTAATATACATCAAACAGACTTGGGTGGCGAGTGTTCTGGAGAGCTGTTGTCATATGTGGTGAATATATTGAGGCCAGGTCGTGACGTCAAGGGTACCTTTTGAAACTGCTTGTATGCTAAGTGTTAGTAAGCGTTTCAGCGATACACACGGTCCTTGAAAACGGAAACATTGTTCTACCGATGATTTTGCATCCAATCATCAATCAGACAGTGATATTCCAGTAAAGCTAATAGCTCCTGATAGTGATTAACGATATTATTTCATGGTCCCAACATAACGTATTCTATCACTCAGTGAATAATCCGACATGGCATTTACTTCCGTGAACCTTAAAGTTAACTGTTTGTTCGCATTGATTGTTGAATATTTGTTTGGCTAATGTTTACGCTTACATTACTGTACGTGGAGGGTATTTAAATCTTCTTGTCAAGTATCACCATGGTTATCTCAACCAGTGGGTTAGAGCGTCCGCCCGGAGAGCGGAAGGTCGCGGGTTCGATCCCCGACCGCGTCATACCAAAAGACGTGAAATATGGTACTTGTTGGTCCCTGCCTGGCGCTCGGCATTAATGGGTACAACAAGGACTGGTCGGCTCGGAGTCAGTATAATGTGTCTGAGTGGGGTATTCATGCTTCACTGCGGCATGGTATCTCAGTGGGCTAGCACGATAAAACAAGCTTCAGTCTGGGCTAGTACAAGCAGCCGCACATACACATACACACGCATGCACGTCGTCATATGAGCGAAATATTCTCAAGCACGACGTTAAACCCAATTTCACCTCATCTATCTCAACCAGTGACAACACTGATATGTTCATGATCATACAGTGAGCACGAACCTGAAAACATCGTGCATCAGACACCTTCCAGTCACTACGCATATATTGCCCATCTTATGACCTTCTTATCCTGTTATTTTTGCACATTACTCTTAATCATGTGTAACAATAACATGAATGTAAATGCCGGAGCGGTTGTGTAGCCCAGCGGTTAAAGCGTTCAATTTACCACATGGGTACAATGTGTGAAGTCCATTTCTGGTGTCCCCTGCTGTGACATTGCTAGAATATTGCAAACAGTGGCGTAAAGCCATACTGAGAATACAACGATGCACTGATATGAATGCCTATGTAAGTGTTCTCCTGTTATTCTCCCGTTAAAGAAACAAGACGTAGTCCTAAAACCCTGAAATACCAGGACAAAATGTTAGAAGTGAAAGCCAATGTTACTCGAGGTAAACACTACGTGAAATGCTACTCTTCCTCATGGATACAGTTTAATTGCCATTTAGACAAGCACCTTGATGATAGTGGTACACAAACACTTGCTTAATTTAGAATAGTTCACTGCTTCTGGTGATTATGATATTTTGTAGCTTTATTAATAATATGCACCAAATTGTTCATGTATCGACTTTGAATCAAGTTCTAAACGCTTTTAAGAAGCTTACCTGTATAATGAATGGTGGATCTAAACGAGTTTGCATGTAGAAATCTTGTTTCTGAGTCTCCTGGTTGTGGGTGCAAAAACTCAACCGCGATTTCGACATTTTCGTTATATCCCTCTCCGTAAGTGGGATCGTGGGTAGTAACGTCAACAAGGCGAGCCCTCATTTCGCAACAGCTGGAATACCAGGCGGGGTCATTCCGAAACTATGCTGAAATACGCATGCATGTATGTACGAGTCCTCAGAATGACGTTACATGACAAGGTTGTGATAACGTGGACTTTATGTCTATGTGGACATTAAATGGAAGAACTACCAGTGTGATTGATTATGCATATCTGTTTCTAAGGGGTTGTCGTGGACAGTTGTTGACTAACACCCACCTGCTAACACGAACACCCAAACCTGTCCTCGTACTTTACAAGTATATGACGTCTCTGTAAATCAAGACTGCTTTTAACACATCGTGTTCTGGAATTGCACTCAATCATTGACTACTTAGACCGGCTTGCTTTCTATAGACAGTGATGTATTGTTGTTTAGGCATGTGTGTGTGTGTGTGTGTGTGTGTGTGTGTGTGTGTGAGAGAGAGAGAGAGTGTATGTGTGTGTGTGTGTGTGAGTGTGTGTGTGTGTACATGAGAGAGAGAGAGAGAGAGAGAGAGAGAAAAAAAAAGCGAGGGTTGTAACGAAGGGTTCGATATAAACCGGATCCGTAATGAGCATTTCTCGAGAGAGAGAGAGGGTATGTATGTATGTATGTATGTATGTATGTATGTATGTATGTATGTATGTATGTATGTATGTATGTATGTATGTATGTATGTATGTATGTATGTATGTATATGTGTGTGCGTGCGTGCGTGCGTGTGTATGTATTGATGGATGGATGGTGGATGGATGGATAGAGGATGGATGGATTGATGCGTGGCTGTGCGTCTATGCAGGTATGCGTGAGCTCATGCGTGCGTGTGTGTCTGTGTGTGTGGGCGTGTGTGGGCGTGGTCGGCGTGTATGTGGTATTTGCTTTTTAGACTTCCGAAATATTATAGTATGCAAACATTTTTTCATATTTGGAGCAAAAAGTCAAATAGTCCAGCTGTAACATGACAATTACATATTAGAACTAAGTTGCTTATATTCGCTGTTCCACACAAACCTATACAAACAGCGCTTTTGACACTTCAGCCTTAAGTATAAATTTACGTGCATGTGTAAAAGTACACACAATCTTATTACCAGCTGGATAAATGTAACAAAAAGTCCATATCTTTAAAACCTTTTGGATGCTGTGAGATAAAAGGGCTCTTCAATTTTCATGTTCACTGGAAGACCAGTTGTTTAAGAACGAGTAACCTTGGTTTGGAAACACAGAGAAACTAACTCCAGTAAGCATTCGCAGTGAACATTCAGCTTACCCAGATATAATTTGAAAATGTAGCTTGCTGTGTCCTTTACAAGGTACCATAGTTTTACGTTGACATACTGAGGATGTATTAAAAACTGATCACGCTACTGATTCTGTCTGCTCCGGGCAGTACCAATTCAATTAAAAACTCGGTTGTCAAATAGAAGAAGCAAGAAGGAATTCTCCCTTTATGACATAGTAATAAACTGTTACACTTCAAAGACAGTGGGTTTTGGCGACAATATAATCTTTATTCGTTTGTAAGTCTCTTAACAGGTAGTTAGAAATATATCTTCTTGGCAACCAAGTGTCAGTATCCCAAACATGCACAGTTATCTGTACTTGCAGTACACAACGTGGATCTTTATGCTTATCAATGAGTGATTAATCCGACAAGACAATCACTTCATTTTAAGTCAATTCCTTTAGTTACATCGGTTAATGAATATTGTCGTGCTGAAGATTTTACGTAAGTGTATTGAGGATTGTGCATTTTCTATCCACGATTCGTTGTGCAGATTTTCGTCCCTTGTAATGCTTGTATATCTATATGTATATGGATATGTATATTCATATGTATATGGAACAAAAGAAACGAAAATGTATACTTCAGTGATCGTTTTATTCACATGTTCCACCTAAAATATATACTGAGACAGAAAAATACATATGACAAAACAGAAAAATACCCTGTTGTAGCTGTCCAATGTTCATGAATTTTTTCCAAACTGGTTGGAGTACAAACACACAATAAACGTCATATTTATACATTCAGATCCATTGTTACCTGAGGGATTTGGGATTTGTACAACACAGACAAGCATACAGAGAGAGAGAGAGAGAGAGAGAGAGAGAGAGAGAGAGAGAGAGAGAGAGAGAGAGAGAGAGAGAGAGAGAGAGAGAGAGAGAGAGAGAGAGAGAGAGAGAGAGAGAGAGAGAGAGAGATATTACGCATACTATTTTCTGTACAACATTTAAGTGCACAAAGATATCAAACAACTATATTGTTATGTGGTGTGTTATGTTTATTCAGTATGGGGGCCACCGGCCCTTTATACACATACATGTCAGAAGGATTCAAGATATGACATGAAGCGCCATAAAAGTGACGGCATGGCCATAGAGGTATAATTGTAAAAACAACCATATACAAGTATACTCATATAACTGAATTCGCAACCAAACATCTAATTTCAAATATCATGAACTACAATGGGAACAATATGGGAGATAACTAAAACAGATCAATACATATCACAGCATTATCTTTTTAAAGATGCGTCATCAAAAGATCAAAGGCACAGACTGCATCCTGTCGCATAGCACATTTTTTTCAACTACGAAATAATGGGCTGACGTCACAAATTCTGACCCCTTCCCGTATGATGTGAGGCATTGTTGGTAACATCGTTCTTGCTTTAATTAAACAGAATACTTTATTACACTACACGTGGTATAAACTTAACTGAACTTTATTCACTCAGACTGCACATGGCATAAAGCGAACACAAGTGTATAGTTCCATTCAGTGAGGATAAGTACGCCAGAGCCATTCGCAAAAGCAAATCTGCCCATCAGTCATTTGATTGGAGGTCTATTATACTATTTCAAATTTCCTAATGACCTAACAGTCCTGTTGTATTCATGACAGAATGGTGATATCATGCATTTGATAATCGATGACGTTGTACACATGGAACTTCAATATTTCATTGGTAGTGCTTCCGCATTGACGTACCCAGAAGAAGGTATGGCAGCACCCTGAGTTGCCAGTGTGTAGGCAGGAGGTCCAGTGAAGGTTGTGGCGGGCATTGCGTTGGTGATCTGTGCTTGGCCAAAGTTGATCACAGGTACCTGGCCTACAGTATATTGCACTGGGATGTTGGTGGCAGTGGTGCGTTGGCCGTGTTTATAGATGCAAATGCCGAATACACTTATTATGAGTAGCAACAGAAACAAGCCACCAAGCGTACCTCCAACAATGGCTCCAACATCAGTATCCAAATCTATAAAATATGATGATACACAAACATGAGATAATACCCAATAATTCGATGTAAAGTATATTTTACAACACATCCCTTTTCAAGCACCATGGTATAAGTTTTTCTTTGGTTTTGGTTTGGTTTCACAATCTTGATAAACGACTAAAAAGCTTGATGACGTCACAATGTTATGATATCGCTGCACTGCTACTGTCTAATGGCAGTACACATTTTTCATTCAAACAGAATGAAGAGGGGTTTTTATGAGACATAAAGTCTCACTCTCATGTCTTCTGATATCAAATGTATCAACACTCGTTGATAAAAGTAAACATATGCTCGGCAAGCCTCGGATATTTGTAGCTTTATCAACTCGTGGTGATATCTTTGATATCAAAATACACTCCATTTATCTACACATCTACACATCAGTAGTCAGGAAACTACATTTTTAGTTGCCTGTCCTTACTTGGATCTGATAAATATGTCCTTATACACTTCATGCGGTCTATCCCTCGGGTATGTACAATTAACAGGCAGTGAAATACCTGAAGTATATCCCCGATGACAGTTAAAATACGTGGACATTGGTATTACAAAAGAAATACGAATTTTTCTTCTTTCAAATCCAAATTTAATGTATTTCGGCAAATCTCACAGTTTTTTTCTAATTGTTTTAATATTTCTGAAGATCAGGGTTAGAACTGACCTTCAATAACCCATGCTTGTTGTATGAGGAGACTAACTGGATCGGGTGGTCAGACTCACTGACTTGGTTGACACATGTAATCGTATCCCAAATGCGTAAATCGATCACTGGAATGTCTGGTACAGACTCGATTATTAACAGACCGACGCCAAATAGCTGGACTATTGCTGAATGCGGCGTAAAACTAAACTCACCTACTCACTCTATAGTTTTAAAGTAGAAATGCGTCCAACCCCACTCGACTGCCATATCTTTACATTCTGATTCATTTCTTGTAAATGTCTGTCTCAAATCGATAACAAGGAACATGGGGTTATAAATTGTATTTTCGACTAGTCCGACACTTACCACGTGAATGATAACTATATTCGTTGGTATACTGTATCTTGAACCCGAGATCAACACCAGATGAATCTGACTTGAATTTCAGGAACATAACTTGACCAGAACTGCGTTTGACAGGTTCACTCTTTCCACACCAGCGACCAAGTGAAGGTGCATTCGAGTCCGGTCCTTTAACAGAAGAATTTTTATGGGTTTTCTTTACCAAACCAGTGCAGGTACATGTTCTACATAACAGGTCCTCCACTTGTACTGGAGAGTTACACTAGAGCTAATAAGATCATAACCTCACGACTGGGCAATAATGGTTCAAGAACGTGATACATACAGAGATGTATACACACTACAAACAGATCATTTCATATTGCACAGAGAATCTATTCACCTCGATCACCAGATGTCAGTAAGACACCACATTATTATGTAAATATAAATAACTATCACTGATGTTACTTCGAGATGAATATTGTCGAAATATATCAGCCTGCCCATCTCTTACCGTCAAATGCCTCCACGTAGTCACTGACACAACCAAATGACTTTCCGAGACTAGATTCCATAACGTCGATTTTGACAATGTAGTCTTCATCCGCTGTGATCTTCCAGCCGACCTCAGCGTTACTGGAACAAAGAACACACGTGTATATTTATTATACTATCTGCCAAAACAGTGAACGTAGACCATATGTAAATCTTTCACAAATGGTGAATTTTGTGTTTGTTCTACTTTCGACGTCTTGGCATATTGCGGCACCCGTGAAGAGGCACCGCCTCGTGGTGGGTGCTGGGTAACGCTAAGCGCTTTTTAACCCCCCGTTGTGGACCCGGGGATATATTTGGTCCACCAACCCGTTTGCCGTGGGTTGCGCCCCTGTGTCGGTGGAGGACGGGAGTCTGGTGGTTGAGAGCACTGGTTCCAGGAACAGTGTTCCTTTGCCCAACACACCACTTCGCCCCTTACTTCACATAGACGGGTGGTAGAACTGGCCCGGTTCTATCAATCGGCTGGTCACGCCAAGCCCTGTGCTACAACCGTATACTGCTACACAACATTTTTATAAAAATAATAACATGATTTCTTTAAGTCTTGACGAAATTATTTGATCTCAGAATTTCAAATACTTAATTACATGTATGATTTTTGCCTAGAGTCGTATGCCAAGAAGGCGGTGGCTCATGGGCCAATCTGGTGGAATTATTAATCTTTTAATTCTTCTGCTGGAGTAATCATCCGGGTATCCTTAGTGCTGCAAGTTGGAAAACCAACTTGTTTTTAGCATTTTCCTTGTGATACTCCGTGGTGGGTGGGGAGCTCGGGTGATGAAATCTTACTAACTAAACATGGCTTACGAAACCCACCCAAAAAAAGACCAAGCGTCAACTTGACACTGATCCGGTTGAAACTGAAATTCACCCGAAACATTAGTTTTGCGGATGCCAAAAAACTGGTCCAAGGCTCTGAACATAAAGAAAGCTATGCTTCCGTAACCAAAACATCGTCCGAAGCAACAACAAGAGTAACAAAATGTTCTGCAAGCTGTCAAACCAATTTGACTTGGTTTACATCAGAAGCTCCTTTGATTTTCTCATCTACAATATCTACTCAAACGCCAGAATCACTTCCCTGTACGTCTGAAATCCAATCAGTAGCATCCTCTGATTATAAGTCATCTCAATCAACACCAAAATCTTCACAAATCGTTAAAACCAAAGGTAAAAAGCCAGATTCTTTGATAAAACTAAGTGGCAGAGCCCCAAAAGGGTCAGAAAATAGAATTAAATTGTACAACAAATATGGATCACTTGAAGACATGGACGTGTCCGAAAACGTCCGCTCTAGGGCACACAGCTTGTCGCCCACCAAACAAGTGCGGGGTAGATCCCCCGTAAATCCCCCCAAGAGATAGGTTATCAGAATAATAGCATACAGTGGAATTGCAGAGGACTAATTTCAATGAATTGCAACTATTAGTCCAGGATTTTACACCGTCAGCAATCTGTCTGCAGGAGAAACAGACGGATACTTTTGACCTACGCCACTTCAATACGTATCATTATTTTTCACCTCTAGGTGATCGGGCCACTGGCGGATGTTCGATCCTTATCAAACAGAACGTTATCCATAGCCCTGTTGCACTTACTACTAATCTTCAGGCTGTTGCAGTGCGACTAACTTTGCACGGGACTTCCGGTTGTGCATGGGAAGAGACAGGCCACGCTAACAAATCGCTCCGTTACCAACCCACAGACTATCCGAAGCAATCCTGCCAAATGACTTTATAGACGGTAAAATTGATAATATCAAATTGTAATAAGTCATTTTGTCCAACAAAGACCATTGCGATAGATACCACAACGTTTCTGGGTTTTTTCACGCCAAATTACTTTCCACTATGACCACGAGGGCAAACACAGCCAATATGGAGGAGATCGTGAAATCTTCCGAGAAGAGAATCAGTGAACTGATTGTTAACGTTAAATGTGAACTAAAAGACTCTATTGACGGAATTAAACAAGAACTGAATGAGCTAAAGACCAAGGTCGAAGGTGTTGAACACGAGGTACTTGTTCATGACATGGAGATGACCAAACTCCGCGACGAGCTGACCGCCATTAAACAGGCTCACACTAACTTAGAACGTCAGTGTACACTTAAAGACATACACGACCGTAAACCGAACTTGTTGTTTTATGGTCTCTCAGAAATACCAAAAGAAAATTCAGAGAAAACGCTGAGGGACTTTTGTGTTGAAAAACTAAAGTTCAGTCGAGACAGAGTTGACAGTATGATCATCAAAACTGCTCATCGACTACCCAAAAGTGAGTATCAACGTCAACACCGACCAACAGCGCCACCAAGTATTATTGCTACTTTCGTTAACATGTCGGATCGGGATGACATATTCGGCGCACGGAAGATCTTGCGGGAGCAAAACAACAACATGAGTATTCAAACAGACTTACCTGCAATGCTTAAAAAACGACGCGCAATTCTGAGCAGAAAGGCTAACGAAATCCGAGAAAATGAGAAGTTGTGGACACGCGTTCGCGTTGTAGGAGTGGAAGTAGTCCTGGAGGTTAAGGAACCAAATGCACCTTCTTCACAATGGCAAAGGCGTGATTGATTATCGACCGACATTTTGTGCCTAGATCAATGTTTACATTAAAGAGAAAGTACTTTCCTTAAGAGTAAACACGTATCATACTTCTTACACTAAGTTCCGATGATTTAACGACTGTTCAATCTCTTTATTAAAGGCATTTAGTTAACTGGACATTTATATACCTTTTATATACCTCTTAACGTTAACATGATTTGAAAATAATTTTTGCAAAGGTCAAATGTCGTTTCAATATCTTGTTTTAAAAATGAGTTGTCGCACATACAGTATTCACTGTGCATGAAACGCACGTGCAGGTTGTGCGCTGAAACTCTCTCACACGCGTACGGGAGCATCCTCATTCTGTCAACGCATGTGGTGTCCAAATCTGCATTATAGATGGACAGATATACTACACACTGAACTAACAGATATTCATGGATATTGTTAAACTATGTGTAATTGTGCGTTGTGATATTGTTATTACTTCACAGGATTTCATATCGGAAAATGATGTACAGACATACAGGATACTATGAACTACCATCAGGTCCTAACCATGACAGACATTCATGGACTTCGATAAAATAAGTGTATCTTGTGCATAGTGCAACGGTGTATTGTGTGTTGCTAAATTCATAGGATTTATATTGGATTATAGGATACAACCAAGCACTGTGAGTATTGATTTTATTTCCGTATTATTTCCGTCAAAACAACCAATTAGCTGCCAAATGACTGGATACCCACAACTTATTATAATTCTAGGTTAGAGGCTATATTTGACGTTTGCACGATTGTTTTCGACTTTGTTGAGGGTAAACATATTTGATCCATTTCCTATATAGAACCCCAGCAACATGAATGGATAAATAGGTGCACCTATGCAGCTAGTATTGTGTATTGCTAAATTCATGCACTGTGAATATTGAGAGGATTAGAAGCTTTATTTGACTTTTGCTTGATTGTCTATTTCGTTGAAGGTAGAAATATTTGTTCCTAAATAGTAAATTTACCTTTATATTTAACTTTATGGATAACCCTACAGAGCAGGAGATTATACATAACTGTTTTAGTAACATGGGTTGGGGATGGTAGCATTGAGCCGTAGGGTTACATGACGGAAGTCACAGCTTTCATCCTTTGTTTAATCGTTCAGTTATGTTGTTCAATAAGATATTCACTTTCATTTCGCACAGGGAAGCACTACATTATAACATTGGTACAGTTGGCTGTTTGTTCAACAAGTGAAACAATAACTCTGGTTGCTAGCACAAAAAATTCACATGATGGCACATAAACTAAATATTTTCTCTACAAATTGCCAAGGAATAAATAATGAAAAGAAAAGAATTGATGTTTTTGAAAACTTAAAGAAAAGAAATGGAAATATTTACTGTTTACAAGATACACACTTTACTAAGGATATAGAGCAGAAAGTTAAACTAGAATGGGGATCATCTGAAGTACGCTGTTGTTCATTTACAAGTCAGTCTAGAGGTGTAGCCATCCTATTTCAAGATAATTTTGAATTTGAAATACTACAAGAAATAAGAGATGAAAATAATGGAAACTATATAATACTTAAGGTTAAACTAGAAAACGAACTGATAAGCATAACAAATATATACGGACCAAATACTGACACGCCAGATTTCTATCATAACATAAAACACATTGTAAAAAACTTGGAAACAGAATTAAATGTAATATGTGGTGATTTCAATCTGGTTCATGATCAAAACCTAGACACCTTCAACTATCTGCACATAAATAATCCTAAATCAAAGGAAGCAGTACTTGAGATGGTTGATGAACTCCGTTTATATGATCCATGGCGAGCAAACAATGTAAATGTACGCAGGTACACTTGGAGAAAGCCGAAACCCCTAAAACAAGCACGGTTAGATTTTTTTCTCGTAAGTCAAAATATGGAAAAATCAATAACCTGCACTAAAATAGAACCTAGTTATCGATCTGATCACTCCATAATCTCTTTACATATTGAATTCACAAAAATAGAAAGGGGGTAGAGGCTTCTGGAAATTTAATAATAGTTTATTACAAGATCCACATTATGTGAAAGAAATCAAAATCATTATTCAAGAAACTGTTGATCAGTATCATAGTCGATCCACTGAAGGAGAGCGAGTACTAATGATAAACGAACAAATATTCTTTGAAGTTTTATTATGTAATATTCGAGGATATACAATTAAATATTCATCTCAAAAAAAGAAAGAAAGAATTAAAGCAGAACAGGAAACCAATTAAGCATTTGGAAACCTTGACGTCAAATTAGACGCAGCCATGAACGAAGAAGATAAAGGTAAATTATTAAAAGAAATAAATGAACTCAAAGAACAACAATTAGAACTTAACCGATACAAAACAGAAGGCATTATACTAAGATCGAAAGCGAAATGGTATGAACAGGGAGAGAAACCGTCGAAATACTTCCTATCACTTGAAAAACAAAACTTTCAAAATAAATCCGTTGCTAGATTAGAAACTGCACAC